CCACTGATCCCCCCAGACCCCCCCCCAACACCCCCTCCTCCATCCATGGAACACATCCTTTTGAATGTCAATATTCATTAGCTGAAATATTTATTCATGAATATGGCTCATATAGATGCGCTTGATTGATGCGTCCCTAAAAACAAAAAGACATGCTCGGGAAAATCTTAAGAAAAGTAGGGTTTGTGTCCCGCCTCGGGGGAGGAGTCTCTCAGATGCATTATTCACATGCCCTCCAGGCAGGCTTTCAAGGCTACTCTGCCCCGAGGGCAAGAAAAAATAACCACCACTGTTAAAAGTAAATCATCTCGGCTGATGCACAATTAATGGCGGAGAGGGAGCGGAGCGCCCCTCGCGCCGCAAGATGGGGAGCGTTGGTAAGAAGGGGCGGAAATCTCTGCTTAAAAGGAACCCTCCTGCCTTGATCCGCGCCGCAGCTTTCTTCTGAAATCAAACAAGGACGCTGCTCATGGCGGGATCGGGAGATGCAGACGATCCCGACGCAGACGTTGTGATTGTGATGCTTGGGGTGAGGATTGGGTGGGGGGAGGAGATGGGGGATTTGGCGTTCGCCGAACACATGGGAACACGAGGGTGATGAATTTCCTATCTTGCCCCTCCAACTCATCCACCCTCGTTTTTGCCTCAACGCCCAAACGTGCAACCTCACGTTCAAGTTTGAACACGACACGGCTTGATGTGATTGGGTTCGCACTTCATCCTCGGGTCAGACTTTGTTATTGTGTTTGACTCTTTTTCTTCCCGAAGAAATCGTTCGTCTCCATTCAAATAGCGGTCACGCTACATGTAGCGCGGTGCCTGAACGAGCGTTCGTTATTTCACGTTGGGGCACACAACTCCTGCAGTCATTACTTCATGTCAAGCCAGTGACTCGGATTGTATTAATAGCTCTTGGGTCTTATTGAGCTCCCGCACTACAAACTCCTCTTCATTATCCAATGTCCGGGGGAGTCAGACAGAAGTGAGGGGAAGTGTCTTGTTCTGCCATTCCATACAAGAATACAGCCCTACTTCTGTATGAAACATTCTGTTGACTCCTCTTGCTTTTTTTTTTAATGACAGGAGATGGTCTCGACAACAGCCTAGCATCACCGGGCACGGGAGATGAAGATGACCAGGACAAGAAGAGGCAGAAGAAAAGAGGCATCTTCCCGAAAGTGGCGACAAATATCATGAGAGCGTGGCTATTCCAGCACCTTACGGTAAGAAACGTTGACCTGTATTTCCTACTTTTTAGTTGGCTACATCAGGACATCGAAAGCAATTGAAGGATTGAAGCAAACTCCAGGTCCTGCCTCAGAAAATTCTCCATGCGTCCCGGCCCCTGAAGGAGCAATCGCAATCAAAGTAGAGAATAAGAGTGTCGTGTCACCAGTGGATCAGAGACGTCATGCTCAAAGTATGCACACATCTGCTCGAAGCTAAGTTTGAAAGTAAACAAAAAACTGTAGCGTCCACTGATGAAAAAAAGATATTGGTTCACTTTTCCTGTCCCATGTAAATCCGCTTCAATTCCAAGCGCCGACTCTCAGTTCCAAATCGGCATCCTCCTCCTCATCCTCAATCCAGCAACCATCCATCCAGCCGCACCAAGGCAGACTTTCCAACAGCGCCGACATATCTGCTAAACAAAACAGGGCTGTGAAAAATGCTGCCCATTACAAGCGCAAAAAAACACAAGCGCCCCGGGACTGTCCAGCGGCGACAAGTCAAATGGCTGCGACATTTCTCCCAATCAAAATCAGTGCTGGTACCCGCGTGCTGCAGAGAAGTCGCAACCAACAAAGCACAGATTCTTCTCCTTTGACGAATGTCGTGGCCCAAACCGCTGAAGATAGTCCACATCGGGTCCACACGAAGTAACAAAAAACACAGTGTGACAAAACAAAAGACAAAAACAACAACAAAATAAAAAAACAGCGAAGCTCGCCAACTAGGGCGCCATCTTGGAAGATATTTGGGAACAGGGTAACATTGGTTAGAAAACCAGGACGGTACTAAAGTACATCAGTTTTGAATCCTTTCTGTCGCAGTCCAAAATATTCATTCAACTATGTTGTATTCTTCATATTCCAAAATAGTGGGGCAATAAGGGACCACCATTTCAAGGTCCATTTTGGAACACTATTTAAATGCTTTATACAGATATCAACATCAAAAGCGGAATGAAAGAGAACTCAGAGTGCTTTACCTTTTGTCCAGGGTCCAAAAGATACAACCCATGCTTTCTTCTCACCGATTTTTTTTCTATACTTCACACTCTAAGATGTGTCATAAGCTCTTAGTTGTTAAGTTGATAATAGGCCCACACGGATCCTGTACTCCGAGTAATCCTTTCCTTTCCAAAGCCCACCTTTAGATTTTTTTTTTCCCCCGATGAAAAATAGGCAAGATAATTGAATTATCCCCTTTTCTGCTCCCAATCCTCTTTCAGGCCTAATTTGTGAAGCAAAAGTGTTTGCCATAGCAGGATGTGCCAATGAAAAGTGCGCAAGGAGACTTTGGCTTCTGAAAGGCCCGTTTGCAACACCCAAGCGATCAAGCATTCATCAGTTGTTGAGGTGGTGAATGGCGCTGGATTATGTTTTGTCACACGTTGCTGTGTGAGGCCGACGGCTGGTTACGGGGTAAAGGGGGGTTGTGGGGGGGAGGCTCCTCCATCGTAGCCTCATGCTTTTGTCGCCCATTCTGAAGAGACTTGAAAGATCCCCTTCTGAGGAAGCCATAGAGAAAGCAGCTGGACAGGTTTCGATTCATTATATTATTCATTATCGTCTCATTAGCCTGGTCAAACTGTTGGTTTCCACGCAACCTTACATTGGACCACATTCAAAGACGAACTTTGAATTTAGCCATCACACCCTGGAATTCACTGTTAGCCTCACACAAAGGGGCGCAAAACGAGTCCTTTCCAAGATTCATTTTTGACTATTCAGTTGAGGTTTGTGCAGTGTGGTTATCTTGATTATGTTTCGTTGATTCTGAGGAGTGTGCACTGTTGGGCCAGATGAGGTTTTACATTCTGCCTCAGAGTTCAGAGGTCGTGGATACAAATCCAGGCTCGGGCCTTCCTGTGTGGAGTTTACATGTTTTCTCGGTGCCTGCGTGGGTTTTCGCCAAGAACTCGGGTTTCCTCCCATGTTCCAAAAACACGCATGGTAAATTAATCGAACACTCAAAATTGCCCTTAGGTATGACTGCGAATTAAAATAAGATGCTTGTGGATAAGAATAGCTAGCTTTAGCTTTTCCGATGGCTGCTAGCTTTCGTTTCAACGATTGATATTTAGAGGTGGGCGGCCCGGTGGGTCCAGTGGGTCGCGCGTTGACCTCACAGTGCAGAGGTCGTGGGTTCGATCCCGGCTCCGACCTACCTGTGTGGAGTTTGCGTGTTCTCCCCGTGCCTGTGTGGGTTTTCTCCGGGTTTTCCGGTTTCCTCCCACGTTCCAAAACATGCATGGCAGGCTGATTGAACACTCCAAATTGTCCGTAGGTGTGAATGTGAGTGTGAATCGGAGTTCGTCTATGTGTGCCCTGCGATTGTCTGGCAAACAAGTTCAGGGTGTCCCCCGCCTACTGCCCAAAAACAGCTGGGATAGGCTCCAGTATGGCCCATGACCCTTATGAGGATAAGGCGGATCAGAAAAATGGATGAATGGATATTTAGCGATACCTCAGGACTACGAATAAGGGTAGCGATGCAAAATTAAACTCCACAAGCAACTAAGTGCAAACATTTCAGCATTTGTTTTGTTGTTGGATTGTTGTTTCATCATTTGCCACTGACTAATATTATGACACATCATGACTCCCTGAAAGCGATATTTGTGTCACTTTATGTAACTGATAGTTTGTTGTAAGACGACAAAAAAAAAAAAAGATTATTTCACTGCTTCACAGGAGGGATTTTGGTTTTATTGTAGTTAAGGATACTTGCTACTGGTTGAATTTTTTTGGATTCATATATTTCCACTTGGTTGTAGCATCCATATGGCCGTATATACATTGACATACATTGTCGTAAAGTGTCACAAACAGCATTGTAAAGAGACTCAAGTGTTGCGACGATGGTTTGTGCTTGTTTTGAATAACAGCTGTTGTATTATTTGACATATAGTACTTTTTTGGCAACCAAGGTGGATAAACGAATCGTAAGAAAGATTCAAATAGCCAAAGCTAGCATAGCTAAGCGGAATTCTGAACCACCAAAAAGTTATATTTGTCCTCTCAGACACGTACAGACAAATAAGTGCCACCTCGTTGACTGGAAATTTCGTTCCATCACAAAAATTAGAGCTGGCAATAGCAGAAGATTTATTAATTGTCTGATTGGAATACAAAGGTCCGAAACACACAATTAGCGATGATTCGACTTCGAACGTCAAACGTCAATGCGGAGTAGAAAAGCGGACTTGTTGTCGGGTAATCGGTTCAGTTCAACCCCAAGTGAGCGCGTATTTGGGCACCTAAGCTGAAAAGAAGTTGGAAAATTAAGTGCTTGGAAGCACATCCTTCACTGATGACCGCAGGAGGCAGCTGATGGTCTGACAGCAGTAGAATGGCGACTGGCCCACGACCCTGTTCCCAGTACATGGGTCACCTCTGTCTGCCATCTGCCGCCCTCCTCCTTCCATCACACACACACACACACACACACACACACACACACACACACACACACACACACACACACGCACGCACAGAGCAAAGCAGAGGATAGGGGGATGGAGTGAGGTGGGGAGGGGTTGCAGGTTGACGGAGGGGCCTGGCCTTACCGAGGCCCCAAACAAAAGACACTATTGTGCCTCTTTACATCCCACCCAATCGTTTGTCAAGCAATGTCAAATAATGTCAAATACTGTCACACAAAGCCACGCGCTTTAAGCCTCAAGTGTTAACAGGGCCAAACGTTGGTCAGACACTCTCTCTTTTTTTTTTTTTTTTTGGGAGGCACTCGCATTGTCACATCTAAGAATTAAGGCACGTGACAGTCCGAATGATTCTTACTTCTGCTGATTTTCTTAGCATCCGTATCCCTCAGAGGAACAGAAGAAACAGTTAGCACAAGACACGGGCCTCACCATTCTCCAAGTCAACAACTGGTAAGTGCGTCTTCAACCAATTCTGCGCATTGCAATTGGCACATTTTATCTGAAATTCTCCTTTGAGTAAAGGGTCACGTAAACCCAACCAAAGATTGAGCGTCTCATCGCTGTACAGCTTGCCAAATCTTCTCCATGACAAACGTCGCCAAAATGTTCTGTCCAGTATTTCTAAACACTGTCAGTTGTTTGGAAGAAAACGTTTATATTTTAGTTTTTGTTTATGGTTTGTTGACATCCCTGGCAACAAGTGAATCAGAAGCGCTAACATTACCGTTAGCTGGTTGCTCTTCACTTGTAAGACGAATATGTCCTCCTGTTTCATTATCACCCGCTTCTTACCAATCTGGATTCTGTTTTGGCCCATTTGGAGCCGCGCCAACATTTACAGGTTCAACTTTTTTCAACCGCTGATAAAAATAACTCATTTCAAAGTTTTAGTTCACCCTCATGTGCTAACATAACACAAGTCCTTTTTCTGTCACACAATCGACTCGCGAGACCGCCTCATTGGGGACAGGCATGTACCGTGTACTAGTGCACACTGGGTAATGTAGTATAGCCATAGGAGTATAAGTATCACAAAGCACAAGAGAGAAATAGAACAAAAGAGGGTACTTCCCAGTATGCCACAGGCTAAAACTGAGAAGTCCTGATGGTGGTGCGTAGCGGCCCATCTTAAAGTACTGCGTGTGACGCAGTCAGACGTCCGACGGTAGCACGTGCGCACTGTTTTGTGTTTGTTTGGGTTTTGTGTGACGTTCCGTACTGCTTCTAATGCTGCATGGCAATCGGAAAGTTAGCGCCTGTCCGCAAAGTGGTGTGAATTGGTTTCAAATAAGAGCGCTAGCAAGAAGTGCCGTGTTAGCCCGAGTAAATGCTGCTTCGCTTAATAAATTTGCCTTGTTCACTGTTGTACCCCATGTTATGTAAACTTGCCTACTGGTCCATTTCTATCCTTTCTTCCATTTTAAGTATTGATATGCTCCTACTTACAACTCATACTGAAAACCGTGTGATCTTGGGAGCATATTCAGTTGTCACTTTGATTTTTGATCAAATAAAATATGAATATTGATGTTGGGGGCAATGGTAAAGCCATTTTAGATTTATACACTCATAAGGGTAAATGAATACCACTTAACGTTGTAAACCACAGGTGTCAAATTCAAGGCCCGGGGGCCAGATTCGGGCCGCCACATCACTCTATGTGGCCCGCAAACGAAAATCATGTGTATCAACTTCCACCGTGCTTGCTAAAATCAGTACTTGTATATGTTGTTTATGTTAGTTTTATGTATATGATAATATGAATATGTTAGTTGCTCCATGTACAGCACTTTGTATGCAGCGATGGCTGTTTGAGAGTGTTCTATAAATACAGTTGAGTTGAGTTGAGTTGAGAGTCCTGAAATTGCGACGTGTGATAAATGATAAACACATTTTGCAATCCTCTCGTTACCCTGTTTACACTCAGTTGAACAATAATAGAACAACCAACCAACAAATAGCTGTTTTTAAACAGTGACAGGCTTAACGAAGGCTGAAGTGACAGCCGAAACTGTCAGCTCGGTCACAGTCTTCCTCTTCACCAAAAAAGACCACGGTCTGGACAAAAAAGAAAGAAACTTTAAACCTAATCGAACAAAAAAATAGTTGACCTGAGGAATGACAAAACTAGTCATCCATCAATTTGTTGTCTTTAAGTAATAATAATATGAGGTGATTACATCAACGTGTATCGGGTTTCACTGTGGTAACGCCGCTGCGATGGAAGATGTTACTACAAAGTGGCCCGCGCCACAAATGAGTTTGACACCACTCCCGTAAACTAAAGGCTGGTCTGAGCCATGAAACTCCAGGGCAAAAAAAAAAGAATTCTAAGCCGGCCTTGACTTCAACATATGATTTGTACCTATTCAAACCAATGCAGAACTTCGAGATATATATATATATATA